TTTGTACAAATGTTATACAGTTCATCTTATAGAAAATTTTATTGCGAACACATTGGTATAAAAAAGAAATACGTACATAGAAAAGTAGGGTCAGGAAACGTATAAACTTTCCAAGCATGATTTCCCCCCTGTGTTTTCGCCAGTGCGCTCGCGGCTAACTACTCTCCACTTCACACACTCTTGCGGGTGGGCAATTACCTATATTAAACATTCATATGCATATGTCCGTGTAGAGAATTTTATTGCGATTCCAATGATACCAAAATTAGCGATGTAGGACAACTGTAGGCTTCGCAACCATTAAGAGAGTGGAAACATTTTGTTGCTGTTTGGCGCTCTCGGCGAGTGATCTGCATAGTTTTTTATTTGGTGTTGATACTCCTTATGCTTGGGCGGCATTTTATAGGTATGCTCTTATAGACAATTTCATTGCGAACACAGTGATACCAAATTTAAATATGTGCTCCTTCAATTATTGTCAGGACAGTCAAAAGAGTGTACACTTTTTCGGTCTTACCGCGTAGGCGCGCGAAGTGCCGAAAGCATCTGGGGTATTTTTTTTTTTTGAGCGCCGAGAGCGCGAAAGTGTTAAAAAAATATTTCACTAATGGCGCGTCACTGTGGTATAACATGAGGGTCGAGAGCACATGACTTGACCAGGCGTGGACGGGTCCACTTTGGGCAAGGAAGCACGTTACGTAGGCCGCCAGCAGGAAAAAAAAAAAATAACTATTTTTGAAGGAAACTTCAGCCTGTGCAAATTGTTTTTAGGAAACTTGTATAGTATTTTCTGTTACATAATTACTAGTATTTCTTTTGTTTTTGGCTATGATAAATTGTTCTAAAATTAATGGTAATTCCTGTACTGTAGTGTATAGGTCCCTCCACATTCCCCTTATCCTCCCAGGTGGTCCCTCCCAATGCTCCCCTCTCTCCCGACACCACCCACCCACCCCACCGCCTCCACCATATGCCTCGAGCCACAGCCAGACGTGATTAATACGGTACAGCCCGCCCTATGGCTTTCATATCCGGACAATTCAATGATTATCTGGCTGACTGTCCGGATAGTTTAACATCGGCAGCAAGTTAACCGGCTCCGATTTTTTATCTGGCTAAACCAGCTTTTATCCGGCTCCCATGGCCATTTTGGCCGGATATTGAGAACTTTATCCGGTCACGATTTTGGCCATATAAGGGCGTATTCCGGATGTTCGAATCCCGGATAATCAAATGGTTGCAGCGTTTCCAACTATTTTTATACCACAAACAACATAATTTGAATTGCCACATATAATTATAAAATGTTCAACTAGAAGCCTCAACTTAGTATGTTGTAGTTCGTCTTTTTGATTGATGCTACACATCTTGAAGTTAAGAATTCTTGACAATTTATGTAACCTATTCTAATACATCACTAAAATTAACACTTAAAATTACTGTACAGTTCATGAGGCAAGGTCAGTTTTGACTACCAGCTGCTGAAGCCTCCCTGATTGAAGGTGCTTGGCTTGCCTGTGACGCCTCACTGGTTAAAAGCACTTGGCTTGCCTGTGAGGCCTCACTGGTTGAAGGTGCTTGGATTACCTGTGAGGCCTGACTGGTTAAAGGGTCTTTGGTTGCTTTTCTTGCAAAATAAGAATCAAGTTTAGCTTGCCTTCTGTGTTCATTGCCTCTTTTATGATCAGCTCTTTGGTTCGCCTCGGGTACTGATACATGTTTCCAACTTCTAGATTAGCGCAGTTGGATGAAAAATTAATTAACATGTCAACAGAAGACATGAGTAAACTGTATTTTGTTGTCTGTGGTGTTGGTTCCTCACTGCCTTCTTCATCCTCCGCCTCTTCGTCGACCTCACCAGTAATAGACTGGAGAATTTCTTCTTCACTCATCACACCATATTCTGTCTCATTAGCATGTTTTTCAAGCCAATCAACCACATCCTGTCTTTCTAAATTTTTGCCAACATTTCTGAACATTCCATGGATTTCATCTGTAAATCCTTCAAAATTCATTTCTTCATTCTCCTCATTGCTGACCGTAGATGTGAAGAGTTTTTCTCTTCAAATTCTTCAAAGGTCTTCAAAGAACTTTGAAGAATTCTTCAAAGAATTACTGTGAATTCTTTAAAGCCTTCTTCAATGACTTTAAAGTTCTTCCACTGCACCCCTCTGCTAGTGCTTGCACCTTCTGGTTGAAATGTATTTCAGGTATTGCTCTTTTTGTTTCCATATATCAAAAACAGTTCTAGTGCCTATATTAAAGTCCTTGGCAACACTTGAAGTCGACCGGCCACTTTCACAAAGTTGTATAACACGTAACTTGTCTTTAATTGTTAGGGTAACCTTCTTCCTCTTAACACCTCCAGAATGATTGATGCTGCTACCAGACATAGTCCTGGCCAAAAATGTTCAAAGTTACTATGAAAACAAAAGAGTTATTTAAAAAATGTTTCACTCATGGCGCGGCACTGTGGTGTAACCTTTCACCTCCTAGCAGTAATTACCTAAGTGTAGTTACAGGATGAGAGCTACGCTCGTGGTGTCCCGTCTTCCCAGCACCCTTTGTCATATAACGCTTTGAAACTACTGACGGTCTTGGCCTCCACCACCTTCTCACCTAACTTGTTCCAACCGTCTACCACTCTGTTTGCGAAAGTGAATTTTCTTATATTTCTTCGGCATCTGTGTTTAGCTAGTTTATATCTATGACCTCTTGTTCTTAAAGTTCCAGGTCTCAGGAAATTTTCCCTATCGATTTTATCAATTCCTGTTACTATTTTGTATGTAGTGATCATATCACCTCTTTTTCTTCTGTCTTCTAGTTTTGGCATATTTAATGCCTCTAACCTCTCCTCGTAGCTCTTGCCCTTCTGTTCTGGGAGCCACTTAGTAGCATGTCTTTGCACCTTTTCCAGTTTGTTGATGTGCTTCTTAAGATATGGGCACCACACAACTGATGCATATTCTAGCTTTGGCTTAACAAAAATCGTGAACAATTTCTTTAGTATATCGCCATCCATGTATTTAAAAGCAATTCTGAAGTTAGAAAGCGTGGCATAGGCTCCTCGCACAATATTCTTTATGTGGTCCTCAGGTGATAGTTTTCTATCTAGAACCACCCCTAGATCTCTTTCTTTATCAGAAAATTTGCACAGGCTGAGAGTCTGGAGCACATGGGCTGTTTGGCTTGACCAGGCCTGGACTGGTCCATTTGGGGCAGGCAGGCACGTTAAGTAGGTCACCAGGAGGAAAAAACTCGTTATTTTTTAAGCAAACTTCAGCCTGTGGAAATTGTTTTTAGGAAACTTGTATATTTGTTATTATATAATTATTTCTTTTGTTTTTGACTGTGATGAATTGTTCTAAAATTAATGGTAATTACTGTTCTGTATAGGCCCCTCCACATCCCCCATATTCCCCCAGGCAGTCCCTCCCAACGCTCCCCCTCTCTCCCGACACCAGCCACCCACCCCACCCCTTCCTCCACCACATGCCTCGAGCCACAGCCGTATGTGATTAATATGGTATGGCCTGATGCCTGCCTTTTTGATCCAGACTATTCACCACTTGTTTGGCTTATTCTCGGAATTTGGTAACATCGGTAGCAAGTTAACCAGCTCAGATTTCTGATCCGGCCAAATATCCACTAATCCGACTTCTGTGAACATTTGGCCAGATAGGGAGATAACTTTACCCACCCACGATTTTTGCCGAATTGGGAAGTTTTCCGGATTGGCGGATCCCGGATTAGCGGGTTTCTACAGTTCTACAATACAGTTTATGAAAACTATTGTACACAAATTACTGCAACCCTAATTTTAACACTAACACTATGACTTAAATTTAACACTTGTTCTAACTGTACACTCCACACACGATGTTCTTAGATGTTTGCATCAGCTTTGCTGGTGCTCGCTGCTGCTGTGTTTGCTTCAGCTGTTTCTGAGCTGGTGCTGGCTGCTGTTGTACTGGTGCTAACTACTGCTGTGCTCGTGCTGGGTACAACTGTGCTTGGGTTGGGTATGGCTGTGCTTGTGCTAGGTAATTACCTAAGTGTAGTTACAGGATGAGAGCTACGCTCGTGGTGTCCCGTCTTCCCAGCACTCTTTGTCATACAACGCTTTGAAACTACTGACGGTCTTGAGGTACGACTCTGCTCGTGCTGGCTATGGCTGTGCTCATGCTGGGTACGGCTGTGCTCATGCTGGGTACGGCTGTGCTCATGCTGGGTACAGCTGTGCTCATGCTGGGTACAGCTGTGCTCATGCTGGGTACGGCTGTGCTTGTGCTGGGTACAGCTGTGCTCTGCTCGTGCTGGGTACGGCTGTGCTCTGCTCGTGCTGGCTATGGCTGTGCTCATGCTGGGTACGGCTGTGCTCTGCTCGTGCTGGCTATGGCTGTGCTCATGCTGGGTACGGCTGTGCTTGTGCTGGGTACGGCTGTGCTCTGCTCGTGCTGGGTACGGCTGTGCTCTGCTCGTGCTGGGTACGGCTGTGCTCTGCTCGTGCTGGCTATGGCTGTGCTCATGCTGGGTACGGCTGTGCTCTGCTCGTGCTGGGTACGGCTGTGCTCTGCTCGTGCTGGGTACGGCTGTGCTCTGCTCGTGCTGGCTATGGCTGTGCTCATGCTGGGTACGGCTGTGCTTGTGCTGGGTACGGCTGTGCTCTGCTCGTGCTGGGTACGGCTGTGCTCTGCTCGTGCTGGCTATGGCTGTGCTCATGCTGGGTACGGCTGTGCTCTGCTCGTGCTGGGTACGGCTGTGCTCTGCTCGTGCTGGCTATGGCTGTGCTCATGCTGGGTACAGCTGTGCTCATGCTGGGTACGGCTGTGCTTGTGCTGGGTACGGCTGTGCTCTGCTCGTGCTGGGTACGGCTGTGCTCTGCTCGTGCTGGGTACAGCTCCAGAGAGTCACTGGGGCTCACCCAGAAAATGACATTTCATTACATTCAACGTTTTTTTTTTACTTGGTAAGAAAAGTAATTTTTTAATATTTTTCAGGTGGTGGTATTGGTAAAAAGGGCAAGGGAAAAATTGGTCCAACTATTGAAAAAGTGGTAAGTTATTCTGCTTTTCATTGCTATTTGTTTTATATACTGTAGGTGTATATTTAATAATACTAATAATAATCTAATAATACTCCTGTACAAAGTTCAGTGTACGTCAGTGCTGTATAGCAAACTTATCACTGTGAAGTGATAGGAAATAAAGAAATAATACTATTTCATGAAATATGTTAAGTTTTCTTTCTGTGTGGAACCCTGTCGGCTTCCTGGAACTATCGGACTGATATTAGCGATATTAATCTGGATCTTCAGTCAATTGGAGTTCTGCCTACCGGGGACCACGAGCCAGAACCTGGCCCCCCTCAGAGAGGCGCAGGGAGCAATGGCCTAAGGAAATCCCCACTGTTTTTTTGAGTTTTCCATGTTTGCTATTGACCGGGGTTAGGCATCTAGGGAGATAAGCATCCCCAAACAAACCACACCTGGTAGAAAATTGCAACCTAAGACCGAACAGAGACCCAGTACTCCTACCAAAAGAAACAAGGAAAGAAGCAAATATCATTGACCCGGCACGCAGTTTGTTCGCGCTGCCTCTCCCCACCCGGCAATCCACTTCCCAGTTAGTAGACTGGAGCCGACTGGGGCATTTGTCAACTCTGGCCTCAATTTCCTGCCAGGAATTTGTGCCCTTGTGGTGTCGCCTGCTGAGTGTGGTGTGATGGCAAGGAGAAATTAGTGTACTGGGGCTGCATTCTCTTAGGAATACCTTCCCTAAGCACCCTGTAAGTACTACCCTTGGGTTCCAGGGTTATCTTCCCTGGGGCCTTTGGGATCTCACTCCCGTAGGGGTTACTGCTGCTCAGCTTTGATCCCACCCTTGGAGTCAGCTGGGGTCTTGTGACCTTTGTTTGGCTCTGGGTAGGGAGTGTTTTTGTTGCTGGCTGAGGCGCAAGGTGCTGTGCAGCTCACCTACCTAATGGCGGCCGTGTTTTCTGTCCCTCTGTTGTTGTTGTTGTGCTTTTGCGGAGTTTTCCTTTCTTTTTGTTTCTTCCTGCCAGGAGGGGATCTGCCTGATTTGACTATTCGTCTGCCTTGGATTATTTGGGTGGCCCTCCTCTAGGCCCCTGTGCTTGTACACTTCACAGGGGATCAGTTCGCCCTATTATATCTGTTGTCAATTTAAATTACCATATGGGCTTAACTGGCTTTGCAGTACCATTACTTGGTCTTCCCATAGGGATGCTTCCCCTTGCTGGCCCTGAAAAATAGGGCTGATGCTATCAGGGCTAGCCCTGATGCTAGCCCTATTTTCCAGGGCCAACCAGGCTTGGTTGACCGATGAACGTGTCCTCCGAATCCCATCTCGCCTTGTGCGAGTTCGAGGGTTGTTCGTTATCCTTGTCTTGGGGGGTGACTATTGCCTGTTTTGCCTCCTTCATGCTGCCAGTTGGGTCGACGACACCTTCGACCCGGAGTCTTGCGAGATGTGTTCCCCACTTGTACTTCAGATTACCCATTCTTCTTCGTAACTTCTCAGAGGTCAGGTGGCATTAACATTGCATATTAGGTATAGGTTGTTGCAATGAGCTAGGTTTGGTTGCCAGCTCGAATGCCCCAGGGCTGCCCCGTTTTGGTTTTAGAGACCTGAACCTGGGGGCGTTGGTCACTTTGAACTTGGTTCAGTCCGCGCCTTCAGTTCCTTCCCTGGTGGGTGTGGCTCACCCTTCTTCCACCCCCCACCCCCACCTGCTGCCGGCTCCCAAACATTTAAGGGTTTCAGAGTCGGGGCAGTGTTTAAATGGTGATAAGACTCGGGCGGCTCTGGGGGCTGCCCAATTTGGGACGGAGATGTAGGCATTTGAGCCTAGTCCTCCTGCTGAATCTTCTAGGTCTTCCCAGCAGGGAAGACTGCTGGGAAGCCCCTGCAGTCTGCCTTTGCTGCCTTTCTTTCAAGGGTTGAGGGCATGGAGGACAGCTCCACCCCGGTACCTGGTTCGGAGGCTCCCGGGGCTGGGGGAGAGTCGGCCTGGGGTTCTTGGACATTCTTTGATCCTGCTTGGGTTTTGGTGCCCTCGTTGTGGGGACCTGCTGTTTCAGGGTTTGGGGTTTTTGTATCCCCCTTCCCTGTACGAATTTGATTTGGGGTCAGCTTCCCCCCACATTCGCCTCCGGGTTCCTTTGGGTTCCTCGGTTTCCTCTTTCTGGAGGGTTTTCTACCTCCCACATTTCCCAGAAGAAGGTTCAGGAGGCCCTTGCTGCATACCGATACCTTCGTACCGCCTGTGTGACCCTGACAACTGAGTGGATAGCGCTTTGAATTTGTAGTCCTGAGGTTCCGGATTCGATCCCCGGTGGAGGCGGAAACAAATGGGCAGAGTTTCTTTCATTTTGATGCTCCTATTACCTAGCAATAAATAGGTACCTGGGAGTTAGACAGCTGCTACGGGCTGCTTCCTGGGGTTGTGTAACAAAAAAGGAGGCCTGGTTGAGGACCGGGCCACGGGGACACTAAGCCCCAAAATCATCTCAAGGCAACCTCAAGATAACCTAGAGATGACCCGGATTCGCCTCTGTGATGGATCCGATCTCTTTTGAGTTCAGTTCTTCCCCGTATTGGGTGCTTTATGAGGTTCCCGAGTCTTCCTGGCTGGCAGAATGCCCTTTCTTTTCTCAGGGAGCGTAGCACGGGTTTTGTTGTACCCGTGTGCTTGAATGGTGAAAGGTTTCTACGATTCAGGAGGCAGTGTGTGTATTTTTTTGCCTCTCGCCTCACGTGTCGTCAAGCCATCCTCGCTCTCTCCTTGGACTCTGCTTGGGCCCTGGCTCTTAGGTTTTTGTTACCATTTTGTCCGTTGCTGTTTGCAGACAGAGCTGTTGCTCAGTTTTTGCAGGCGGCTTCGGCTAGTTGCCGAGGCCGAGTGCTCTGGGGTGGCCGTTCTTAGGCCTCTCAGAGGGGTAGTGCCAGGCATCGAGTTTCTGCTGTGTGTAATTGCCTAAGTGTAATTACCTAAGTGTAGTTACAGGATGAGAGCTACGCTCGTGGTGTCCGGTCTTCCCAGCTCTTTTTGTCATATAATGCTTTGAAACTACTGACGGTCTTGGCCTCCACCACCTTCTCCCCTAACTTGTTCCAACCGTCTACCACTCTGTTTGCGAAAGTGAATTTTCTTATATTTCTTCGGCATCTGTGTTTAGCTAGTTTATATCTATGACCTCTTGTTCTTAAGGTTCCAGGTCTCAGGAAATCTTCCCTATCGATTTTATCAATTCCTGTTACTATTTTGTATGTAGTGATCATATCACCTCTTTTTCTTCTGTCGTTTAGTTTTGGCATATTTAATGCCTCTAACCTCTCCTCGTAGCTCTTGCCCTTCAGTTCTGGGAGCCACTTAGTAGCATGTGTTTGCACCTTTTCAAGTTTGTTGATGTGCTTCTTAAGATATGGGCACCACACAACCGCTGCATATTCTAGCTTTGGCCTAACAAAAGTTGTGAACAATTTCTTTAGTATATCGCCATCCATGTATTTAAAAGCAATTCTGAAGTTAGAAAGCGTGGCATAGGCTCCTCGCACAATATTCTTTATGTGGTCCTCAGGTGATAGTTTTCTATCTAGAACCACCCCTAGATCTCTTTCTTTATCAGAATTCTTTAAAGATTTCTCACATAATATATTGGTTGTGTGGGGTCTGTGTTCTCCTATTCCACATTCCATAACATGGCATTTATTAACATTAAATTCCATTTGCCAAGTGGTGCTCCATATACTTATTTTGTCCAGGTCATCTTGAAGGGCATGACAATCATCTAAGTTTCTTATCCTTCCTATTATCTTAGCATCATCAGCAAACATGTTCATATAATTCTGTATACCAACTGGTAGATCATTTATGTACACAATAAACATCACTGGTGCAAGAACTGAACCCTGTGGTACTCCACTTGTGACATTTCTCCAGTCCGATACATTGCCTCTGATCACAGCCCTCATTTTTCTATCAGTCAGAAAATTTTTCATCCATGTTAGAAGCGTACCTGTCACTCCTCCAATATTTTCCAGTTTCCAGAACAACCTCTTATGTGGAACTCTGTCGAAAGCCTTTTTTAGGTCCAGATGGATGCAGTCAGCCCAACCATCTCTTTCCTGTAATATCTCTGTTGCTCGATCATAGAAACTGAGTAAATTCGATACACAGGATCTTCCAGATCGAAAACCATACTGCCTGTCTGATATTATATCATTTCTCTCCAGGTGTTCTACCCATTTAGATTTAATTATTTTTTCCAATATTTTGACTATTACACTTGTCAATGATACCAGTCTATAATTAAGGGGGTCTTCCCTGCTTCCACTTTTGTAGATTGGAACTATGTTAGCCTTTTTCCACACATCAGCTACAACTCCTGTAAACAGGGATGCCTGAAAAATCAGTTGAAGAGGAATGCTGAGCTCAGGTGCACATTCTCTCAGAACCCATGGTGAAACTCCATCTGGACCAACTGCTTTGTTCTTATTTAGCTCCTTGAGCATTTTTTCCACTTCGTCTCTAGACACCTCTGTGCTCTATGTTGTTCTCTGGAATTCTTATTGTATCTGGTTCCCTGAAGATTTCATTTTGTACAAACACATTTTGGAACTTTTCGTTTAATGTTTCACACATTTCCTTTTCATTTTCCGTGAATCTATTTCCCATTTTCAACCTCTGAATATTATCCTTTACCTGCAATTTGTTGTTTATGAATTTATAGTATAGACCTGGTTCTGTTTTACATTTGTCTGCAATCCCTTTTTCAAAATTTCTTTCTGCCACTCTCCTCACTGCCGTGTAGTTGTTTCTCGCATCTTTGTATCGCTGGTATGTTTGGGGGTTTGGCCTCTTCCTGTATTGGTTCCATTTTTGTGTCTTTTGGTCTCTGGCCCTCTCGCACTTTCTGTTGAACCAATCCTGTTTCCTAGTTCTGCTTCTCTGTTTTAGTATAAATTTTTTTGTGCCTTTGTTATATATTTCACAAAACTTGACATACATCTCATTCACTTCCTTGCCTAGCAA